CTTAGAATTTTTTCAAATAAAGTACTTCAGAAGGATTCAGTGTTGCTGCCATCGTACATAACCTTTGACAGCATTTTATCATTCACTTAGTGCTTCTAAATAACAAAGAAAATATAAAAACAAGAAAGGAGCGTTATATTTGAGAAATTTACATTATTCTGATTGGAAGTCTTGGACAAAGTTTTACAATAGAAATTATCAAAAGTTAGTGTGACGTCACGAGATATGTGATTTATTTACATTATAATGATCTTCGTAATAAAACAAGTTCATTTAATGAACTCCTTTGCATAGTTATTTGCAAGGCTTTTTTACCTTTTTAATTAGGGTAACATTCACGAACAATTTGTTTGGTGCATTTCTGGTTGAATATAGATGTGTTATACAATACTTTTTTTGGACTATTTTATCCTCCATACTTTCACAACATAGGCAGTTGAATACAAACCATGACTGAAGTTTCACACCACTCAACTCAGATACATTTGAAACTATTGGCGATTCCTATCCGACTTCGCATTTCGAATATCTGGTGACGTCACACCCCGTTTCGCTGAACCGCTTTTTTTAGGTTATTTTTTGGTGCATTGGATTCATTTGGAAAAAAAATTCGACAATATTTTTCAAATCACTTACCGATTTGTTTTTTTGAATGAAAAAATTTGAAAATACTTTTTTGCCAGTCAAGTCCTGATAAGTTATGTTTTCACTCTAGTTTTGAAAATGTCGGTGATCACTGTAGGTGTAATAGATTTGAATCCGTTTTTTTTAACACAATTTGTAATTAAAGGGATGACTCCTGTTGTATCCTTGAAGATATCTAGGTTCAATTATTTAATGATAAAGATTAACTATTGTGTATATTAATTAACTAACTTTTGTGTTTGCGCATTATCTGAATGTTTGTATATTTTGATCCTTCAAATATTTAAAGAAAGTAAATAAAAATTATATTTTTATTAANGATCGATCTTCACTTGCTATCGTCCAACCCGTGTTAGGAATCACACGGTAAAAGGTAAGACCTCGTTAATCCTTAGCTCGCACAAGTTTAGACTTCTTAGGGTTGTCGTTCGTAGGGGTGCGACAGCTGGTTAATGGAAAAACAGATTTTAAACAGATTTAAGCTATTGTTCAAAAGATGGCGCATCCTTGCTATCGAGAAAGTAAAAACAAGAAATACCGTTTCATTGATATTCTTTTTGTATTTACCTCCATAAATTACTTCAATAGTTGTATTAGAAAATGACTAGTGGTGAACCAATTGCCTTGAAAGACATTGTGGAAGTGAATTCATGTTTGAAACTTCAAGACATTTTGGTGATTTTCAGTTAGATGTATTTACACTGAAGGAAAAAGAAATATGGGATTAGGAGATAGGAGTTTATTAAAATCACCGTCAGCAAATAATATCAAAACATATTTATCTATCTGTATGTACACTAATAATACAGTGTTGGTAGGCCAGCTTTCTATATCAAACTTGACATCACCACAGCCTCCCTCTAGTTAAAAATGTACATTCAAAACAACTTATAAAACATTTGGTAATCAAAAATGCGAATATTTCGAAAAATTACTGAGAAAAACAACTAAAATATTCAAAATTATAAATTAAATTTAAAATTTTCTCAGTAACTCAACAAAATTCTATTAATCCTATAATATACAAAAAGTACATTTGAACATGTACAACAAGTCGTAACTCAAGTGAATGAAGTTCATTGTTGCTGACGGCGATCAAATCTATAATCTCTCTCTGGAGGACGCCAATCCCCACCAGAGAATCGGTCTCTGCTGAACGGCTGCTCAGGAGGATACATCGGCGTTCCAGGTGGAAAGTTGTTGTAGTACATTGGCCGGCTTCCTGCCATAGGCGGCATTTCTCTACCGCCTCTCTGATACTGTCTCCAATCCCCCTTGTCAGGACTCCTAGAAAAAAGTGAACGTGTTAGGGTCAACAATACCAACCTGAACATCACACATCTATGTAAAATCCTATTCATCAATTCAATTACTAGATGATACCAGATTGATATATTTCAAGTAAACGAGAAAATAGTTAGATAGACCTATCTCTCATTCATTTCAGCAATGATGTATTAAAAATCGGGATGTGGATCTAATTAATACAAATAAATAATAATACATGACAATTTGGTACAAATAATAAAATCGGTATAAGACAGAATATCCATCCCTAGTAATGAGTTTCTTAAATTTATTTTTGGAAAGAAATGTCTTCGGATTTTTTCATTTATGAAGGAATTTCACTGTTTTNAACTTGTTGGTTTATAAAATAGGATACATTGTTTTTTTCAACTTCTAGGGATCTATCCAACACTACCACCTCTTCAGAGAACTGATAATAGTTGATACTGATTTGTATACAAAAATTTGTTCACCAAAATTCTTCTCGAGATATCAACTCAAAACGGAAAAAAGTTTTATGACAATTTTGAAAGAAATTATGACAAACATTTAAAAAAAAAAGGTTTTATTTTTTGAAAAAACTGAAAAGGGTGACATTTGTGATACTTACTTATCAGATTGATGCTTCTTAGAAACACTCGTATCATCTTTTTCGGCGTCACTTTCATGTTTCCTTTTGTGTTCCTTTGCTTCTGCTGACTGGCTTTTTATCTTGTCCTTACTTGTGGAAGGACCATCCTATTAAAAAACATAGAAATGAATATAACGATGGACAGATAAACATCATGAGACTTTAAATACTACGGATGTTACTGTTTAGGAATTTTTAGATATAACTTGAACTATATTGATGATGAGATATCCAAGCCATAAGGATACTGTCAGGCAGATCTTGAATCTTGGTTTTCCCGATATTAATGTGAGTTGCACAAACTTATTACAGTATATCAACTTAAATGTGAATGACAGAACTCCAAACTCTGAAATTTTCGAAATTGATTTCCACGCAACAGATTATGGTCAAAAGGAACCAATTACAAAACAGCCAAGAACTATAAAACTTGATCCTGTATTTATTCAACTGATTACTTGAATCAAATACTTATTGTTATCATATTATCATTTTTTGTAGAAAAATGTTTTTTCTAAAACATTGTTTGAGGAACTGAATAAAATTTTCTGCAAATCATCATAATAATTACTTCTTGAACAGCCAGTAAAGACACGCCTGAAGAAGCCATGATATGGCAAAACAAGTGTTGCATTTTTGTAAAACTGTTGGTGAAAATCCCACGATAAAGTGTTGTTTGAATATAATAGCCCCTGTATAATAAATACAAAAGTAAACTTTCAACTCACATGTCTTTCTTTTTTTCCCTTCTTCTCAGCTTTCTCAGACTTTTCAGACTTTTTGCAAGCCTTTTTGTATAACTTATACAACTTCCTGGCATCGTATTCTGTGAACTTTGAGACAAAATACCACAAATTACTGAAACAAAAATAAAAATTAATGCCAATCAAAGTTTCTGAATATCCAACAAACCTTCTCCACTCCTTAGTTTTCTCGGGATCAGTGAACTGGCTTAGGCACGTATTGATCTGTTCTCCAATTTGCAAAAGGCAATCTCTTGTATGCTGCACTCTTTCGGAAGTAGAAAGGGACTCGTCGGGATTGTCCAAGGCTTTTAGGGCTTTCTTAACTGGTCTCATTTTTTCTTTACATTCGTTAAATATCGCAGGCTCTAAATCTCCCAAGACATTCAATGCAATCGTTTCATTAGTTGAAAAGTGCATGGGACCCGAAGTCTTTTTTCCTTTTTTCTTCTCC